TCCCCCTAACCAAACTCTCCCCTAACCTTTAAGATTCAAACATAGACCAGACATAATCGAACCCTCTCTTAAAAAGGAAACAACATCAATACAATAAAAGAAATCAATAGGAATCACAAATGGAGGAAGTGTGCGCCTCTTTAACAACCTTCAAACATGGTCGCACTAGGGAACACCTCAAAGGTGATCCAGGAACGCCACAGCTACACGAACGTACCTATTAAATGTGTCAAAGCTTTGTGAAATCAGGCACTCGTCAATTTTAGGGGAATATAAAGTTATTGGTACCATCTTAAAGTATGTCTATTTGCCTTACTTTTGATAGAAAATAGATCCATTTATTTCAAATACAATGCAAATGAAAGAGGTAGAGGTGGCCTGGTTTCAGATGTAAAATTAGCCAGAATATTACCGCCAAAGTTGAGTTATTTCCTTAGCTTGAGAGTCCATGGAAACTGAAAATTCACATGTTTTATACCATTAATCAACGTTTTTCAGTAAATCCCACACTGAAGTACGTTCTTTTATGGTCATGAAATGTGCTGAGCCAATAAACAAAAATTCGATAGAATTCCCAAACTTGCAGAAAAATGCCAGTTTCTTCATTTTGATTATTTTGACGAGCGACTGATTTCACCTCGTTGGCCTCACAATTATTCATGAGTCCCGGAGATGAAAAGAAATGCCCATGAGCTCCAACATAAAACTCACCAGCCCCCCCCAAATGGACTCACGACCACAAACTACCCAAGACGGGGACAAAGTAATAACTCTTTCACATCAATCAATACAGCTGCAGCAATAAAACAGATCACACATCGAGGCTTCATCCTTCTCATCAGCCGTGCATTCGTCCCTCGTTCCTCACCGCCACCTTCCACACGCCCACTCCTACCGTTATTTCTCTCTCTCTTCATCTTGCCTGTCTTTCATTTCACATCCAGTATTTCCATTTATTAGTAGCGCAGTATGAACAAAATGAAAGGAAATATGGGAGAAGACCCAAATGTAACGCGTTAAGTCTTGGTGGCGTCGGTGGCCTAGTGGTTAGGATCTCGGACTCGCAACCGTAAGGTCGAGGGTTCGAATCCCGTTAGGGGCCCGACGTTGTGTCCTTGGGAAA